CCCGGGGGACAGCAGCCCTGGCAGGGTTAGCCGCGCACAGCCGCAAGGCAGTAGGAGATTAAATCAGCACAGACATTTCTGAAACCGGCCCTGGGAAGGCTGCCCGTATTCAGTCCCTCTTAGCTGTGTGAGGCCATAGGCATTGCTGTCTTGCAGTGCCTTTACGTACTTCTGAAGTATGGAGTGAATACAGCAACATGACTTGATATGACTTTGTTTCAGTATTAGTCCAGTGTGCACGTCTTGGTATTGTTTTTTAAAAGAGCCTATCGAGAGCTTAACGTGGTATGTTAACATCCAGCCAGTATAGTAACACGGTTTCATGTTTAAGAGTTTTAAATTGTGGGTGTGCTCTGCAATGTGCCTGAGTAAGTAGTGTCTGTGTACTTAGCCACCCTGCTTGTCTTCAGCTTTGTTATGTTCACTTACCTTAGTTATACCGATTTTTATTTGTTTTCATTATGCAGTGGAAATAAGAATCAAAACTTACAGTTTCTGCTTATTGACTTTCGTGATTAAAATTGTCAAATAGTAAAGTGATACTGAAAAGAAAGACATTTTTAAATATTTTGATGTTAAAAAGAATTGCCCGAACCTACATTTTGTGTTGAGAAAAATAATCCACTAAATTAGCTTTCTTTTTTTTGCTAGGAGAAAGAAACAGTTTTCTGTTAAAATGATTGGTTATTTGTTTATTTAGAGGGCTGGAAAAAAAAAATCTCTCTCTGAAATTAATATTTTTCTTGCACTGCACAGGAGAAACTATTTTGTATCTCCAGGATAGGCAGCAGTTTATGAAAGTAGGGAGATCTGGAGGTGGGTTGGTTTAGGGAGGTAGTCTGGAGTGTCCGGTTTGTTGGTTATCTTCTGCATTGCGCTTGCCAAACCAACAGAAGATAGTTTCCTATAGAATATTGTTTGCTTTTTTGTCTGCTTTAGTTGTCAAGATAACGGAGTTTAAAGAAGAGAGCTTCCCACTGGAACAGGGGGTTAAAACCGAGCCCACGTGTGCTGTCCGTTCAGAAGCCAGCAGCCCTGCCCTGGTCGCTCAGGTAAGTTGCCTCCGCAGCGTCCTTCCCCTTTCACATCAGGGCTGGTCTTCAGGTTCGTAACATCCCCGCTCCAGCATCTGCTCCAGCTTTTGAACTTCAAAGGTGGTCGAATGCATACACGTACGAGTCACTGGCAGAAATGAAATACGATGATTTGGTGAGGTTCCATCTTAAAACGTGTGCATGTCTTTTGCAGTCTAGCCAACTACGTTACTTTTGCCAGTGTTGGCAGCCACGCACATCATGCAAAAAGCATGGGATCCAGTTCCTCCGTCCATTATTTGTACTTCCTTCTGGATGCTTGTTGGGTGTGCAGGTAACGGCTGGTTTTTTCCAGTCCATCTACCCTGGGCAGCTCCACCTGTCTTACACAGGAGAGCCAAGGCGTGTTGCTGCGTGATAATTGTACGCCGCTGCCTGTTGGTTTGCTTGGCTTTTGTTTGGCCAGCGGCTGCACCTTTCAAGCCTCTGAGCTAGAAATGCGGGTGCCTAGTCCCAACCCAAGCTTTGTGCTGATACCTTTTGACGTAGGTCAGTGCGTTGGCAGTAGCTTGTCCATAGCTGCCTTCATCTGCAGGAGGTAATACCTTCTCAGCTGCGCAGCCCAAGCTGGCCCAGCTATGGAAGTGCAAGCTGTGCCACTGAACATGTTAGTGTTGACTTTTATTTACATATAATTTTTTTTTTTTTTTTCTCATGGTCAAGTGTGATCATTAGTGCCATTTCAGAGAGGAGGAAGTAACAGAGCTTTTGTAACTGCTGTTAGATCAAAAGCACTGGCCTCGCCTAAGTGAAACCAAGAGGATTCCATTATTTTAGCAGTGTAATTTATAAAAATAATATTTCTGTGTTGTAAGATGAATAATGACTGTTCAAAATGTATAATTTTTATACTCTGAAAGCTCTTCAGGAGCAGCACTTCCTTAACCGGTCTGTCTTGTCACAAGATAAACTGAGTCACAAGAGATGATAAAGCAACGACTACGAGTGCTGGGAGTATGTTCAGGGTAATTGCAAGGTAATCTCGACCACGCAGTAATGTGCAAGAACAAAGCAGAGGATGTCATCAGAAGCTCCCAGGATGACTTGTTTGTTTTCTCTCAAGTCCTGTGTTTTCTTCCATTTGTCTTGCCAGTTCCTGAAATCATCTTGGTTATGAAGCTAATTGTAGACAGATCAGAACAGCCTAAGAAAGTTACAGCTCATAAAGACGGATGACCAAGTGCAAAGATACCAGTGTGCCAAAGTGATCTTTTCCTCCAAAACAGGACTCAGAATTGAGGATTTTCTTTAAAATGGCATTTGTTAGCTTAAAGGAGAGCGTCAAATCAAAGTAAACAGGATGATCAGTCCCCTAGTCAAATGCGTAGCTAGAGCGGTGGATGTTGCAGCTACTTGAAAACGAGCCGTAAGGACAGCGCGAGTCCCTACATTGGATATGGAAACGTGCTTTGGCAGTATTGGCTCTCAGAGTCATTCTTGTTGCCCGAAACTCCATTTTTAAGGGATTGAAACAAGAATGTTGTTTGTGGTGATGCTCAGGTACTATATTGGTAACTGCTGTTATCATGCGCTGAACAAAATCAGGTAAAAATGCATTTTAAAAGTGAAGCATTTTACAGTTTACAACTATGAGTGAACTCGAATAGAAAAAGTCTGTCTCTTCATTTAGTGTAGGAACATACTCTTCACTCGTAACAGCCCGTTTTACTGTTGACCTGTTTGTAGGTCATTAAGCGATGTGATTAGCTAAATCGTGTAGTTTATTCACAGTTTGTGCTGTGTGTGTACATGGAAATTGGCTTGCATGTTGCTGTGTTAGGAAAGACACATATGTCTAGCAACTGAAGAAGATGGTGAGGAGGTATGTGATAATTAACATCCAGTCTACTAAGAATCAATCCTTTCCACGTTTCACGGGATGGCTCAGACCTGTGGATGTTTCAGATTCGCATCTTCTCTTGCTGACCGACCTCTGTGCTGCTACTTTCCCTCTTTCTGGTGGCCACATTTGTATCTTTGACACCTCTGTATTTTTCCCTTACCTGTTTTATCCCACGTAACCTTTTGTCACCTCTTCACTCTCTTAAATCCACCTCCAGACTCCATCCCCTGGAACAGTTTCCACCGAGTGACACCATATGGACTGCCAAAAGTTGTCTTCAGTCACAGTTCAGGATGTCCGATACTTGGGTCCACCAGGCTTTGGATGGTCCATCCGACAGTCCCGAGGACCTACATAACTTGAGGGAAAGGATTCCTGCTGGTCTGTGGAACTTGCAGCATTCATTGCTAGCCCCAAAAGCACCCAAGAATTCGACTTTGATAAAACAATTTTAACTTCTGGTTGCATTTCCTGCCCCCTTTTCCTCCCAGTAGAGCTAAGGTACTCAGCGTAAGGAGAGAGAATTTTTAATTAGGACTTTAAAAAACACTTTCTAAAATGGTTTGCAATGGTTTTCCTGGAAGGCGGTGTAGACTTCGGAGCGGTGCAGAGGAAGGCTCACGTGAACACGCTGGTGGCTGAGCCAGCTGTGAGTCATGCAGCCATCCCAAGCGTGCGCTGGGGGAATTTATACCATTCCACACCATCACATACTTGTTACGAGTAATCTAAGTTGGAGCCGCTTCTCTTGCATTCAGGTTGCCTCTTTATTTTTGAAGCCTGTTCTTCAAAGAAAGCAAACTGCTTTGCAAGTGACTGCCCCTTGTTGATTGCCCTTGGAGAAGTGAGAGTGTATGTCAGGCTATGGTTTTGCTCATGTGCCGAGTTATGGAAAAGCGGCGTGCTCCCCAGGAACGCACGCAGCCCCGCTGAAGGAGGGCTGCCGGCTGGATTCTCTTGCCAAGGAGGAAAATGTTGAAAATTGCCATGACTTAAATAGGAGCAGACGGAGACCAATGCTGAGCACTCCTGAAAGTGCTTTTGTTACAGCGGTGCTTGGTGATTTTAACGTGTCAGCGTGGTCCTTGAAAATACCTTTTGCTGGATTTCTGCAGTCGTTATTTCCAGTGGGGAGGCAGGATTTCCTAAAGGAGTGGTCGGCAGTGGGGGGTGGCAGCAGCAACTGCCCCAAGAAACTTCTTCAGTTCTTGCTTAGCGTGCATGTGTGTGTGTAGGAGCAGATGTGTCTGCAGGCAAGCCACAGGACTTAGTGAATTAGTGACTCTTTAGCAGTTAGGCAACAAATCGAAGATACTTATTTCAGATTTTGCACTGGCCCTCAAGATAAGAGAATCTGGCTGAACCTGTTCCCTGGTAGTTGTAAAGAGTGTCCTCTTTGAAGGGAGCCGGAGGAGAGCTTCTGAAATATTCCAGGAATGGGAGAATATCTCGGAGAGAAATCTGCCGATTTCCTCAGCTAGGCTTCATCCTCCTCTGAGAAGTGTGGTCTGCTTGCTTTCCTCTTCTGCCACTTGCTCGTCCCTGCTGTTTCTGTCCTAGGGTAAAGGCTTGTTTGCACTTCACAGGGCACTGGAAAATCAAAGCGTGTTTGCTGGATTGTACGGGTGTCTTTATCGAAAATTAAAATGGTCCCAAGTCATTTTGGCTTACTTCGTTTGGAAGTAAATGCAGTTGGTGAATGCTATTCAAGCTCTAAGGAAGCGTGTCTAGCTTTAGATTTGATGCTATTTACATTGACACTATCCAAAATTCCTGCCGTTAATTCAGATGGAGCTTTGTCTATGTGGGGTCACAGGGTTTCTTGGCAGCCCTGAAGAGGGAAGTCACGCTGAACTGAGTTCGTATTGAAACCAGGTTGCAACCGCTCCTATGCGGAATCAGAGCCCCGTTTCCCTGTGGTTGGCAGCTTTCCCTCCTGCCGAAACCGAGCAGCCATGCGTTTTTTGTTGGTTTTTTTTTTTTGTCAGACTCCTGAGAATTTCCGATTTAGTGGACGTCTGCTCCTAAACCCTAATTAGTTGGGTTTCCTACACTCAGCGATGCGCGTGCCGCCGCCGCTCGCTTTTGGCACCGCAATGTCTCAGCCCCTCCTGGACGAACTAACCGGCGCCTTCCCCGGGTGGGAACGACCACAAAACACGTAGATCAAACTGAGCAGGTGGGCGGCGGGTGGGTGTGTGTGGGGGTGGGGGTGTTCC